TATTCTTGCCTAAATCTTACTAAAGATCATCATCTATTTGATTCTTCATATCTGAGTCATTGTTCATTATATGTTTACAAATTTTTCAACAGTTCCATAACTAAAATTTAGAAACATAATTTTTCTTTTATCACAGATTCTACCTGTGATTGTCTTTTTCTTTCTTTCAAATATCCATTTCAATTTAGTTGATTAATCGTTTCATTCATATAAAACACATGGACAAAATAGATTTTTTCTATGTTTAGGTTGGCCTATGAGTGCATCTGGAACAGTTCAGACTAATTGGACTGGTACTTGGTATGGTATGACTAAAGCCTATCCGGAAGGTACATTAGGCACTGGCTGGAATGTGACATTTGATGTTGGGCCCTATCCAATGGTTGATAATAGTTGTACCGCATGGCGAAGCATTTTTAAAGAGAATGGTACAATTACACTTACTAAAAACAATCGTTTCTGTCGAGGACATGGTCCTGATGATCTCTATATTGAAGATGGTGGTAGTGGTAGTAAGGTAGCAGTACAATGGATCCATAACGTGTTAGTGTCATCATTTAAATATCAAGGTGTATTTGCCGTCGCCAGCATGCGAATGCGTGGAGATATCCTTGAAGAAGAGATTATAATTAGTGGTGACAATCCCGCTATTGAAAATGTCATGGTGTCTGTACGAGTGCATAGTATTCATCTAAAGACAATGAGACGAATGTCTGCACTGAAAAAAAAGAAGGCATCATACCGAACCTCAAAGGGTTTCGTAGAGAAAAAAAAGGTTTCGTGAAGTAAAAAATAGTTCCCTGCAATGCACGAAACCTTTAAAAGTTCCGAATTTTGAAACAAATTCTAAACCATTTTTAGGTTTCGTGTCAAACCCTAAAAAAATCCTACCGAACCTTTAGAAAAAAACTTCTTGATCGATAAGAGTCGCTTTGAAGGGGTCAAAAGTTTTTGCGAAACTTCTTCGAAGGTTTAGAATTCGTTTCAAAAAAGATTCGATGTGGTACCTTTTTTTCTTTCAGTGTATGTCCAACAGCGGAGAAAAATCTTTTCGATCATCTCTTTTTTTAATTTGTGTAATTTTTTTTTCTCAGATTTAGTTTTTTTATTACATCATTGATATGACTAGTTTATTCTAATAGATCGAATAAAGTCACACGATATTGTTAATTTTTAGATTTTATTTCGAAGGGTGTGGCTGTGGAAATCAAGAGAATATGCGGATCCAGACCTACACTTACACACCCACACCCTCATTGATAAGAAAGGTTTTCATCCCCATACAATAAAGTATTTTCTTTGAAAGACTAACAAGTTAATATACTTTATTTACTTGTAAGGTTATTGTTTATTTATAGACAAAGAAATTTTCTTCTATAGTATATGTATATATGTTAGGGTGTGGGTGTGGAGCTCGGTGTGAATCAAGAGAAGACTCACACTGGCACCCACACACTTTTCTATCCATTGATTTAGATGGATAAAGAGGAAATGATAAATTCCTATAGTAAATAGCATCATTTTGTTATTTTGGCGAATACTCAATGATTATTAGATAACGTGAAAACAAAGTATATAAATGCTTTGAAGATTTTAATATAATACATATCGAAATTGAATCTTTAGCATTCAATAAAAATCTATCACATGTTTACAAGGCATTAGTTTGGAATGAAATGACTGATTACTTTAAATTTTGAGCTTTTATTTGGAATTGTCATATAATTAATTGAAACAAATGAATGAAAAATTTCTTTATTATATGATTAGACTACTTTTATATGACGTTACTCGAGAAAAAGCATTTGAAGTCCATAATGGACTTGTAGAATATTTGAAAAAAAAATTTCATCAATTAAAATCTGGATAGCTACTTTTTTGAATAGTTTATTTTATGGTGACGTTTTTTTTCCTCATAAGCAGAACCCATAATATAAGGTACAATGCACTGAAGAACATAGAATTCTTACTAATACATAGGTTTGAATGTAGAAAAAATAAGAAAATGAAACCTGAAATAATAACATTCTTACTTTACTCAAAAAATTCATTGGGAAAACTGTTCATTTTAGAATCTCATCATGAGATGTATATTCAAAAAAAACAAAAAATAATCATAAGAAACTTTGTCAATAAATAATATGTAAATCATTAATTCAAAGTGACAAAGAAAAAAAAATGTTTTTCATATGAACTTAAGAAGGACAAATGAATTCATTTTAACTTAAGTCCATTGTCAATTACAGCATTTGAACAATCATTAATTTCAAGAAATGTGATATAAAATGATGGAATTTATGTTTTTTTTTATCACTCCGATTAATCAAAATATGGTCATCATATGTTGGTTTTTTAAACTAAAAGAATATTTGCCAATATTCTACTTGCTCAATCGATCAAGCTTTATGCCTTTATTCGTTGCATGACGTCTAATTGAACTCATGTTGTGAAAGTCGCCACGATTTGGGCAGTTTTCAGGAAAATGAATGTCAAATCACGATTAATCAGACAAGTAACGTTCATCAACAGTCGATTCACCTGGCCCTAGACTGACGTCATAAGGACACATATGTGTTAGAAAGTTATAAGATTAAGATTAAAAAGATAATACTAAAATTCTTCTGAGTACAAAAAAGCGTTAATAAAATTAGCGCTATTTATATTCAATAAAAATCACATTTAAAATAATAACATTTTCATACATCATAAAATTCCGTATTTGTTCTGATTCACTTGTCACAATTTTATTATACATCATATGCTGATTTGTAATATAGGTACTATATGGTCTTTTGTACCATATTTACCAAAATGGTCACTAGTGCCGTAGTTCCGTGGTCGCTGTCTCAAAAAAAAATAGTAATTTGTGCCAAAAACTGCTCATTTCTGCCATAGTTACATGGTCATTTATAGCAAAAAGTGGTCACTTGTGCCATAGTTACATGGTCATTTGTACTAAAGAAATGGTCGTATGTGCCAAAAAAATGGTCACTTGTGCCATAGTTACGTGGTCATTTGTGCCAAAAAAATGGTCATTTGTGCCATGTTACCGACAAAAGCGATATACGCGCGGACAGATCAATTCTCGTTTCTAGACCCTATCCTTTCAGTCTAGGGAAAATTTTTTAATAGCTAAGTGTAAATCTATTGTTACAGAATAAAACTTTTTACGTAGAAATTGTAATAACTAAACAAGGAAAATCAACTAATTGTTATATTAGATTTTAGTATTGTGTATTTCATGGCTTGGAAAATTACAGTAAAAATCAATCATTTGCTCATTTTTGTCGTACTCGTAACAAATAGTCTCAATCCGTTCAATTCGACTTACGTAAGAAACCTATTCTTATTTAACGGATAAATATGTATATATCAATGCATTATATTGTATTAAATTGAATCATTATTGATGATTTAGTGTTATTGCTTGCCTCTACTATATATATATTGAGATTTATCTTCTAAGAAATCTGGCCTAAAAGATATCGCTTTACTTTGTTTTCAATTGCTACTCTCATAATGATTTAACTTGTTCTTGTCGTCTTTGCTTTTTCGGTATGGATGTGGATAACAGAGAATACTAGACTCATCCACACCCACACCCTCAACTGTCCCATTATATATCATTGAACTTGGGTGTAGGTGTAGATATGAATCTTCTCATCATATTCATACCCTGTTTCTTCAGCTTCTATTAATTACAATTCTATCATCATCATGTGTTACACTCCGCTCATTGTTTCACGATATATACTTCAGCAGACAAAACATGAATTTATTTTTGAATAAAAATAAATGTGGAAACTTCGGATTTAAATCCGAGAGTTATGTGTACTTCAAAAAGTGAATGAGACAGATCAGTCATCTTAGAATGTGTGGACATCAAAATTGTCCTAGCAAACCCTTTCTGTAAACACTTGATTTCTATTGGCTATTGCTCAACCAATAGGATTTGGAGGCAAATACAGCTCAGATTTGAACTCTTCATCTTGATTTACCCTAAGAAACGCGTTTTCTCTATAACTTGATTCCTATTGGTTACTGCTCAAGCAATGGAATTTCGAGGCGAATGGAGCACAGATTCGAGTTCTCCACTACAGAAAACCTCGAACTATCATCTCTGTGATCGGAAGATAGAGCTCTAATTGTGGTTCAGTTAGAGCGTGAACAAAAACAGAACCGATTTCCGTTTAATTATCTTTGCAATAGGTGAGTTAGCTTTCTTGTTTCCTTATGTTTTATACACCATTTTGTAGTTCGTAAAATTCTCTATCGAATGGTATATAATAGTTGGGGTTTTATTTGACTATGATAGGAAAAGTTTTTTATGAAAACAGAGAAGGGTCTATCTTCTCATAGGGAAGCATAGGGAAAAATGACTATTTTTGCAATAACTCAGGAATGGCTCGGCCAATGATTCTTATCTTCGAACGCGATCGAGATGTTGTTAAGACTAAACTGTCTAGAAAATTTCATCGTGATCGGACTCTCCTTTCAAAAGTTATCGTGTAAATGGACGGACGGACGGACACACTGACCGATTCTAGAGTGTACTCACTTTTTGAGTACACAACAAGCTCATAAAAATGTTCGACAAACGAATTTTTGAAATCATCTACCTCAATAAACTTCCAGAAAACACTTTACGTAACAAAAAGTGCCCAATCCGAATAAGATACTTATAAATAATCATGAAGAAAAATATGATGTTGGTCGCTGTTCTCATCTTTGATGGAAAGTAATAAAAAGCGATAGTTTGTATCATGAATCAAATGGCCGAAAGAGTCCCAAAGAGAAGCAGACCCAGAGGAAGAATATAATATCCGATGTGCATAGGAAAAATGATGCGTTGAAGTATTAGTTTTGTCAAGAACGATGCTACATAGTTAACAACGAAAAAAGCAATGAAAAAATCTCAACCACTAGTGTAATGATCGAGGGAAGTGATATATATTAATCGATGCCAATAATATCCTCTTCGGGGAGAACAATAAGCTGCCCAAGATTGTCGTCATGTCTAGATAATATTTTAAATGAATAGTATTTCGGATAAATACAATTAGAGACGATGAACTCACCCGTTCTCCAATTCAGATATGAACATCGTACGACAAAGCTGTACGCGTCGAATGATAAAACAGACATCTAAAAGTGTTTCTGTGCAGTCGTCGTGTGCCAAAAATTGACAACTCTGGGTCGAAAAACGAACGTCGTTCACCTTCATTATACGGTGATTTAACAGTGAATGATGCACTAGACAAATATTGGAAACCATCGAACAATCGGATCATCTGTTTTCTCGAATTAAGGGATGATATTTGGAAATGATCAACACACGGAAAAAGACGCAATAACTCTTCAATTAAATAATTCATCTTTTTTGTTGAATTTGTATTAATCTGAAGTGTTCGAATTTGTTCGAGCCGATAGCATCGTATTTGTTCAATGGAATTTAACAAGAGACTTCTGCTAACGCATAGTATGTGGAGACAAATCATATCGAGTAAATAAAATTTCAGAGACTTTATTTCGTTGAAAGACGATATGGTCAAATCTTCTATGCGACAAAGACCGACCATACTCGAAACGGTGTCTAAAATACCTTCGTTTGGGCTCGATAGTAGATTGAGTTTAGTGACATGTTTGTAGAAGGTCTTATCATCACATGTTTTCCAAATAGAAAGTGACGAGAAACCGGAACAATTAACTTCCACTGGAGCAAAGTGAGGTATCGAAAAAAGTAGTTGGTCCTCGTAAGCTACATGCCAACCTTTTTCATAAACCCAAAATTCAGTGCGAAACGAGTTGAGAGTTACCTCATCAAGTCCAGAACGAATTTTGAACTTGAAATTCAATGTCACGAGACCTTCACTCAATATTTTCCATTGATGATCATTAGCAAGATCACGGTCACTTTTTGCATGCAATTCAAACCATATCAATTTGGTTAGTTTTGATAAAATTCGTTCGCTTTGAGTTAGTAATATTGGCGAATCTAAATTACAAGTAAAAATAAAAATAATCTTGTTCTTTTTGTTAAATGTCATTTTCTACTCTTACCATCAATTTTTATAGTGAGTCGCTTGAGCTCCGAATTTGAATATAAAGAATGAATACGTGATGCATCGCCTTGCAGTGAAATATCGAGTGATATTATATGTGGCGCTTGATGGAAAATCCTGTTTAATTCGTATACGGTCGATTTTCCCAATTTCAACTGATGAAGACGTGGCAGTTCTATTGCGGACGGTATTTTGAAAATCGACATATTTAATCGATTTAATCGAGGTAATACTCTAATAGCAGCCTCTGAGAAGCACGATTCGACATCTATCATCATAGCTGAATAGTCATAAGTCCAATTTGGACATTTGATTTTAATGTGTTTTGTGTCATAGGTAAGTGAACGGAGTAGGGCGAGATGATTCAAATTCAAGAAGATCGATTCGAATGAATCGAGTTCGACCTCAATTAATCTAAGTGATTGAAGATGGATAAATTGTTCGATTCGGAGGGTGTGGGTGTGGGTCTGGTATTTTATGCTGTTTTGCTGATACTAACACCCGCACCCACACCCACATCCACACTCACGCCCACGCCCACCCACACCCATGCCCACCCACGCCCACACCCTCGATGTAATCGGAGATCGTTTCAGCGGTTGATCGGTGTAACCGGGGTTCGTTTCACCGGTTGATCGATCTGATCGTTCACCGTTTCGGAGCGGTGAAACGGTGACGGTGAAGCGATCATTGATCGTCACCGTTGCGTCCCTAGATGTGAGGTGTGGGTAGGTAATAATAATATCTATCCCCACCCACACCCACCCGGACCCCACCCATACCCACACCCCACACTCACATCCACACCCACAATGTTCGCTAGATCCCTTCATCTTGCAAAAGACATAAAACATATGGAATTTTTATAAATGTGTACGAAATATATTTTTGTGAAATACGATCTGAAAGGAGTGTTGAAGTGTTTAGGGGTAGAAATTTGGACCCCCCTCCACCCACAGACCGTGACAGACATCTTAATAATTAATTAAATAGTATTTAATTAACTAATTAACCGTCACAGACCGTGACAGTCAGGCCCGGCATCCATCACAGACCGTGACAGACAGGCCCGGGGCCCATCACAGACCGTGACAGACAGGCTTCGGGGGGCGTCACAGACCGTAACAGACATCTTAATGAATTAATTAATTAGTATCTAATTAACTAATGAACCGTGACAGACAGGGCTTGGTATCCGTCAGAGACCGTGACAGAAAAATTACAGTTCTAAAGCATTAGATAAAGGGTTAGCTTACAAATGTATCGCAAAGAAATGGAACGAAACGATTTCCATTTAACTAATAACAATAGATCCATCGTGTTTCACATTTTTAATCCCGCAAGGGATTGCGCTAACAGCTTTCTAGCTTAATTTTATTTTTTGAAAAACAAATCATTTATATTTTCTTGTCGCACATTCGAGATTCTTTTGCAATTGTTGAAGACGAGGATGATTGACAAGTAATGACCTTTGTCCAATATCCAAAGCACGTTGATGAAATTCAAGTGATTTTGCATTTTGACGCATCTTACCATATAGGAAACCGATGCTGCTGTAGAGTTGAGCTAAGTCAGAATGATTCGGAGGAAGTATTCTTTTTAGAGCCTCCAATGATTTTTCGTGAGATGAAAGTGCTTTCGCATATTCACCCATTTTTTCATACACAACAGCAATGTTTTTGTACGAATGAGCTACCTTGCGATCATCTGAAGGTTGCATATTTTGTCGAATTTCAAGTGCTTTTTCATGATATGAAAGAGCTGTTGGGTAATCACGCATTTTTTCGTAAACAGATCCAATGCTACTCAAAGAAGATGCTAATCCATGTTGATTCGTTATTTGTTGTTGAATTATAAGTCCTCTTTCATAATATAGAAGTGCTTGCGTGTATTGATTTATATTTTCATATACAGAACCGATGTCATTGAAAGTAGAAGTAAACGAAGAATGTTTTTCAGGCAGGATTTTGTACTTGATTTCCAGCGATTTTTCATAAAATGTAATTGCCTCCTCATACTTTTTTTGATTTTTCTTGCTCCATCCAAGTTGATGATAGAAATGTATTTTTTGATGATCATTACATGTTTGATTGACGAGAACTTCATATAATTCATCAGCTTTAGCAAATTGACCAAGTTTAATTAGCAATCCAGCCAATCTATCCCATTCACTCGATCCTCGAATTTCTTCACGTATTCTTTTAGTAAGATGATTCAACTCTGGATCGTTGTCATTGGTTTGTATTAAGTCTACTTGCCATAGACGATTGTTATCATTGCTCTGTATGATACTACCAATTCGAAAGACGGTATGCATCGAGAACAGAATCTCTTCTTCTGTATTGTAGCAACTCAAGTCGTTGATAGAGGCAAATGGAGTTGAATCTATTGAAGGATCAATTGTCATCACGAAGACAACTCCCACTGAACCTGAATTTGCAAGAGAGCTACGAGCAAAACTTTGAGCTATACTTAGATCTTTGCTCGTAGATAAAAAATTATTAAACGAAATCAATCCACCTTGTGTTTTGAGGATTTTTTCAAATTCTGTCTTTGATATACCTTGACCTCGAAAGATAGTCAATGACTCTGATTGATGTTGTTCATTAAGTTGTTTTGAGTGTAGCTGTGCGATTTGATGATGAAGATCATGAATGAAGAAACCCATTTTAATGAGAGTATCTATTTCCATCAAACGTAAAGCTCGGTTGAGCACCGAATAAAAACAAAATTGATGAGTATACCACCAGATAGCTGGATGTTTATTATAATCTTTTTCGAATTCGTCGATTTTATTCAATTGCGCAGTATTGTCAGCAAAATGTTGTCGATAGTAGGCAGTAAAATCTTTAATATGTTGTTCATTGAAGTCAATTGTCAATAAAATTTCTTTGAGTATCTGTGTATACATAAAGGTTGGATCCAATTGATCTAAATTGCTATTTAACGTCCCGCTAGTATTTGAAACAAGACTGATCGAAATCGAATCTTGATCGCATTTTTGTGCATCAAGTTTAACTGCTTTGCATATGGACGATATTGAAAAGAAGATGTTCTTAACTTTTGGCCCATTTTGTGTAGATTGGTTTTCTTTTGGTTCATTTTTACAAAAGATATAAATTGAATTAATTTGATTTAAATCATGAATAAAAGATACAACATCTTGACCGTAATCGTCTGAAATAATTATCAGAACTTTTTCATCTTTGATTTCGGTAAGAAAATCGATGCATTCATCAACATCAGTAAACGTATTGATACTATTGACAATTTGTTGTAGTTTGGCTATTGAATCACAAAGCTCATCGTCACTCACATCGTCAATAATAGAATTTAACCATACAAGGATAAAATTTTGAACAATACGAGAATTAGAAGACCGATGTGGCTTTACATTAGTATGACAAAATAATGCTGGTGATTCAGTTGCATCGCTAGAAGATGTAGCCTGATTTTCAGATCTTACTATGCTAAGGAAATGACAGTCTTGACTTAAAGCCATATTCTATTGAATAGTCGAAAAAGAAATATTGATAACAAAAAAAACGACATTTTTCTTTTCTGTTTTGACTTACAGTCTCTTTTTTTGTAACTTTTTCTGTTTGTCACTATTGCTTTTTTTGCATTTGAAGGGCTTCACCTGTTTTTTTTATTCAAGAAATTGTCGCAAAAAAGGCACTAATAGATGAAAAGAAATATTTGCTGACACTGGCGGACGAACGAAAAATAAAAGTGTGAACTTTTTATTTTTATCGACATTACTGATAGGAAGAGCAAGCGCAAAGCATTTCTCCTTTCCATTTTTCTTAACAAAATTCTCGAAGAATGTTGGCATTCGCTTGGATGTGAATGTTCTGGGATGCAGACAAGAACCACACCCAGTCGGATGATTTTCTTGTTAAAAAAAAAGAAATTATCCATTTGAAATTAAATAGACAATTGCTTAAATTGAAGAAATGTGAGAATTTTTTTATCTTCATTATCAAAACATAAAGTGATCTAAGCTCTAACATTAAATGCTAGAAAAGTCTTACAACAACAGTAAACCGTATAGATGGGGTGGGGGTGGGGTATAAATATTTTTAAATGAAGTTAAAACATCCACAAATACACCCTCAGTGATCCTAATTCGAACAGACAAGTGATTTTTTTCAAAGTCAATATCTCAGTCAACATAATTTGAAAAAATCTGAACCTCTAAATTAAAATTCATTGATTGATAAGGAACATTTTCTGTCATAGAAGTATTAAAGAGGGTGTGGGTGTGTGTGCGTGTGTGGATGTGAGCATGGCTGTAGGTGTGGGTGGATGTGGGTGGGTGGGTGTGGATGGGGGTGTGGGAGTGGTGTTCTCTTCGCCCACACCCATACCCACACCCAAACCCACACCCACACCCACACCCATATCCACATTCACACCCACATCCACACTCACACCCACACCCACACCCACCCACGACCACCCACACCCCACCCACACCCACACCCCACACCCACCCTCATATCCATGAAAATAAGCAAATAGAGTTTTATAACCATAAGCAACATTATAGACAATATTATCCAGTTCTATATATCCGATTTTGTTCTGATTAACGATATAACTGTGTGATTCAAAACTGTTGACATCAAAAAACATATCTTTCATAACTTCTTCAAACAATAAAATCCAACTTCGATACTTCTTACAAAATTCATTATATTCAATTGTAGTTTTCAATCAATTAAGGTTTAGTCTAGATTTTCTTTCTTTCCAAATGAAATGAATTAATGATGTCATAATAGGATCTTGTAAAATAGTTGTTGGTGTATAAACATGACCATAAAAATCTTGACTAAAAAACACATTAACTTCATCAATTAATAATATTTTATCACGTTTTATATTTTAATTATTTCTTATTTCAGTATTAGAATCTTCAGAAATTATCTGTTCAACTACTTGACAAATATCACCATTATCATTGATAATATCTTCACATAGTTTATTTAAGGTACCATAATGTACATAATTTATTAAATCTAATGAATCGAATAGTGGTACAAATGCTTGATAATCTCTTTGACTTAAATATTGACTATATAACATGCACAACATACATCAAAACCAAGAAGTGCAAGTATACAAGCTGTAACTCCTAGTGTAATAGATTTTCGTTCACTAGTTCCTATTTCTACTAAATTATTCTTTAATTGTTCCTTCTTATTAACTATACCGAAAATACGAAATATAGCAATAACTTGTGTTGCATGAGGTTGAGGAAGATAATTATTTCGATTATCTAAACCTTCAGCTTCAAAATAATGATCTGCATTTTTTAGTGTCCATAAAGCAAAAATATATGCTACTAATTCTGGAATTTTTCTTCTTATATCTCCATCCCAATCTATCTCATTTGGTTCCTGTTTTCTTTTTCGTGCTATTAGTTTAATATCTGATATTAATTGATCTAATTTCATATCGGATTTTAGATTTTGTTGAATTAATTCTTGATAGTATCTATTAAACTCATCATATCGTTTTTTCAATAGATTCTGATCAATAAAATCAACATGTAAAATTATTTAGTACATAGTCGATATCACGTCTTCAAAATTTTTCATTGAATAAAGATAAAACATAACAATGAAAAAATTTATGGTCTGAAATGATAGTTCGATCTATACTCGTTGTGTCCTGATTTAAAAGTGTAACTAATTCTGTAAAAGCCATACTATCATTTGTTATACTTTTATAATTATTGCGTAATTTATCTATTCGTTCATTTATTTTAATCTTAAATGAAGGCATGTGAAGTGACACACATTTCATATTTATTAACATCGAAGTAACATTTTGAATTTTTTAATCATGTTCAGTTGAACGTGTCCAAGATTCAATTTTTTCTTTTACTTCACATTCTACTGATGTCATTTCTTATCTGAATGATAACAAATTAAGATAACATATATTAAACTCAGTATAATCATTTCGTGTTAAGTGAATATCTGTTGAAAAACGATTTGAAATATTTTCAACATATGAAACAATATCTACTATTTTCTTTTCAAATGACAACAAACATTCTTGTTCAATATGATTTAAATCAATATTTAATTGAGAACTATTAAATACTTTAGCTTTCTTCAAAATCAAAAATTGCTCATTAAATTTCTTATGACGTTCATCTCGATGTTTGCCGATTTCATTTCTATCTTCATTAATTAATATACTCTGAATCAACGTACTTCTTATTTCTTTAATTATTTTCTTCGTATAAACTTCCCTTGGACAAAGAATTATTCATTTTTTAAAACTTTCTTATACTCTGTTTGCGAGGTTTTACTCCAATAATGTCGACAGTGTAAAGTGTGACTGTGAAAGAAGGAAAGATATAAGCATGCTGCTCGGATCGGCAAAAAACCGTCGATGAATCGATGATAATCATGATTTGTCGAAGATTAACTATCGTCAACTCACAGTTATTTATCACTATCCCTCACTTCAATCATTCTTAATAGCGTGTGGGTGTGTGAATTCAGAGAAGGCCCACATCCATCCATATCTATACACACACCCACACCATCTCCAGATTGTACGCCTCTATTTCCCTTTTGATACATATATACTCTCTTGAATTTTTGTATTTATAAATAAGACAATTTTTTCATACATTAACAATGTCATCTAAAAACCCTGCAAATATTGGTTGAATAACAAAAGAGAACTAACTGTGAAGATTATTCTTTAGCTATCGATGTATACATATGCTTAACAATTAAAATGCCTCGAAGAGATGTAAACGAGTATTATAAGAGAAAGTATACCAGCGTAAAACAGAAATGTTTCTCTACTATGCTATTGACTACATCGATATATACTCAATAGTTCCATGGCATTCAATCAAAATAAGTTACAGTTAATGACAAGTTCGTCTTCATCCTTGTGTCTTCTCCCCACATTGACTTTTTAGAAGTGAATCAAATGTGTCAAAAATTTATTGAACCCAATGTTAGTGTAAGCTCCATACATTATACTAGCAAACACAAGTTTCAGCCGAGTGGAATAATTGTGAAGTAGCAAAACAACAAAATTATTTTCAAGTTAAAATCTGTCGAAGAAACAACTTTTGATTTTAACCATCATCGTTTTGTTTGGCCATCTACACAAGAATCAACATCGGAAAGTACAAATAGCTGTAGCCCGAAAAATGCATATAAAACAGTAGTACAACATAAAAGAACATTATAATTTTTCTTTGGAGGTGGAACAAGGCTTTTCGCCTTTCTCTTAACCTCATCCTTTTTTTCTCGTACAGAATTGTGCTTGATCTTGAGACAAACCACCACCAGACGCACTATAAAACCAAAAGATTAGTTCAGATTTATTTTCAGAAAAGTCGTGCTTTCTACTTACGTGCCATGACCATTACATCGATATGCCCATATTCCGAATGCAATCGTTTCAACATAAGTATAATTATTACATAGATCATCTGCATTATAAGTATCCCAACGGGGAGTTATCAATGCTTTTTCTCGTGGATAAACCCAAAAATTATTGTCACGACTAGGATCACCATGATAAAATACTCTGGATGTAGATGTTGCTCCTTAATAATTGACAAGGATTCTAGATGGATATGTTTCCGATTTTGAAAAAATAATCTTAATGACACGAATGAGTACATTGTTACAAAAAAAATCAAGTTCACTACTTTCGCAAAATGTATTTAATACTTATAGTGTTTTGATCTTAAGCAAATACAATCGTAGCTTAGTTATCTATTCCTATTGCACTATTTTCATTACAGTCTTTTATGTCTTGTTTCACTTGAAACTGGTTGAGAAACGATGAGATGAGAAACCTAAAATGTCTTTTTGGTAAAAACGAAAAGCATATTAAAGATGATGTAAAAGAGACATGTTGAGAATTTCAACGAAAGTGCAGTTATACATCGAAACACAACTTACATTTGTCTCGAGTCAGTCGAATGGTGGTCTTTTTTATCCAATTAAATCCACCAATTCTGGTTTTCATACTGAATTGATGGTTTTTGATATATTTACTGTAACAAAAAAGCACATTCTTACTGTTGAACAACTCGTATTCATCGAATACTAATCCTTTTTTGTTTACATTGTTTGAAAGGCATTTTATAAATTAAAATTCAAAAGTAGATTCAAGATTCTCTCAGATAGATCTAAACCTGAATTCTACTCCTATGAAATGTTCGGATGACATATTTTAAAATGTTTTAAAAGTTCTGCTAGAAAGAAAAACTATCGCTTGTGGGGTCTATGATTCAACCATCTCAAGGTGAAAAAAATGAATTATTAAACTTCAGAATTTGAAACCTATCAGAAATAAAAGCTCGAAAATAATTAAAACATTAGAAGTTGACGTGCGTATACCATACCCTAAAATTAGAAAGTTTGTTCAGATTGTATTTTAACTGTGCTTATGATTTACTTATCATGGCCGTTGCAACGATATGTCTTTAGTCCGGATCATCCATTTGTTCCGATATGCGTACAATTATCGCATAGATCAGATGCATTGTATGTATCCCAACGAGAATCTACCAATGCTTGATTTCGTGGATAAACCCAAAAATTATTGTTACGACTAGGATCACCATGATAAAATTTGCCTGACATAGCTGCCTAAAAAGGCATGTAAAAAATTTGCTTGAAATCATAATTGCAGAGAAAAGGTTGGATTGACCATTTTTCGAATATCTGTTTCATTCAAGTATTGTTCTCGGTCAATCTTACAGATGTGTAACATTTAGGGTCTTTCTAACTTTATTTCTAGGCAATCTACTTAAATAGCGAAGAGAAAAGAGCTTTGGCTCAAAAGAATCTTCTTTGATACCTATAATTTTGAAGATATAGCCTGTTTTTTTTTTTGAGAACATTTAACGAAGTTTCGTCATGTAAGGAGTCTGTAAGAGTAATATAAACTCGAAAGGATTATATTTTCTGTTAAACTTTAATTGAAATATCAAGTTTTCACGGTCGGAGAGCTGTTTCATATTTTCTTTGGAAGAGAGGCTTTTACGTTTGAATAGTAGAAAACAACTGTACATTCAAAACTTCATGTTCCACAAAAACTTCACAGAAAAAAAATAATCCTATGAAGACTTTCTGAGAAAAAACAAGCTCGACCTCTAAGATACAGTGATACCACAAATATTAATCTTGAATAAAATTGATGTGCATGTCAAAGACAACAACTACTAGCATAAAACATAAAAAAAAGGAATGAATACAAGAGCGAAAAAAAAATAGTAAGAAATTTCTTTCAACGTTCAATACCTTTACAAAACACGACGAATTTGCGAGTATAAGCAATTTTACGTTGTTATTCTCTATTTATACTTCTTTCCAATCTTATCGACGTAATTCTAAAGAGTGTGTTCCATAATGCTTACTAAGAGAGAGAAACAAGAATGCACGAGTAGGGGATTTTTTTCTAGCCGACATTCTCTATCTCGTTGTCGTCTGCTCTTATTGGTGGACTCCTTTTACTTGCAACGTGGAATCAGTATGGTAAAGACTAGAAAGGAAGAGAGCATGGCAACGAAAGAGGAATATAATGTTCTGTCAACAGTATCTACTGAAAGACAAGACAAGAAAGCGTTAAAGAAGGATTACTTTTCTCTAGATCTTTCCATTCATTTTTTTTCATTCACTATGACATGTGTTTTGTACTTATGAGAGAATGCAAATACTCGGATAAATACATATTGATGATGATAAAGAAAAAAATGCATTGCTTGGATGTTTTTCTTTCGCGAAAACATCGTGCTGAAGTCATCGACATGAATCGTAGTAAAGAAATTTCTTGACCGAAAATAATCTTGCTTGAAATAATTATTCTTGATGAATACAAATTTGATGTCTTTGAAAGAAAAGGGAAAAGATCCATTCTGTCTTAAACAAAATCAACAGCTTGAGTGATATGGTGAGAAATAAGTTTGTTTATTGTTCTGGCTGAACTACATTATTATCATATTTAATTTAGCTCCAATACAAAATGTAATTGATTTTTCAGCAGTTATAGATTTATGTCGAAGCATCTGACCTTTTAGCGATCTGATTTTCAAAAATAAAAACTATTTATTGATATTCGTGATGGTCTGAATAATAAAATGATATTCCTGTAAGCTTATAACTAGTAAGAATCAAAAAAGAAATAGAAAAATGTGTTGAATATATAATATTCCACTTTTCAAAAGTAAATGTTTTTCCTCTAACAAATTGAGGGTGTGGTAACGGTGAATCTGGATGATTGTATGGTGCTGACTCACACCAATAGCCCATCATTCAATCACAAGCCAATTTAAATGTATGAAAAGTGGCTCGAGAGTCGGATAGAAGAAATATTTCTTACGGTCAAACGATTGCATTATTATCGGACTGATTTTCGACTGACACAATCTTATTCAACACGATAAGTAATTGCATTAGTCTAGCATCCTTGATTGGTCTCCGCATATACGACCGTTATTCTATGCTCTTATACGTTGCACATAATTTTAGATATTTTGAAATCTTACAGATTACACCTTGATCTTTCATCACTATTCGTTGAATTTGATCGAACATTTTCAAGTGATATGATACATTGCATTCACATCTGTGTGAGGAATTACTAATGTACTTAAGAAAGAATGCAGCAAATCAGTACAGTTCTCTTCGATTATCATAGGAACTCTCCAAAGGAATACTATCGATGAAATGATGATGATCATCAGTGTCAAATATATCAAAGTAAAGATGAGGACAACGGCGAAAGATAGTGATAAAACTCAATTCAATGAACATTCTCCAGTAATCCAGAGTTTATTCACCTTATCTAGATTTTGCATCGAGCGGATATAATGTGTTATCGAAAGTCTCAAAAAGTATTTATTAATTTTGGAACTCAACTTTCTCCAGTGTATACTAAAGAGTATCAAGCAGTGTTCCATTCTGAAGACCGTGGTGTTACGAATGATGGACTTCAGATGCGGACGACCAAGATCATGACCGACTCATGCTTCCTCTGTTTGGAGAATAAATACGCCTAACTATCAATGCTTTCTCTTGGGCACTCTAGTAACACTTTGCAATACATTCGATAGAGACTCTTTGTATGCCAGTATAATCTAACACTAAAATATGATAGTTACCCTTGTTTTGCACTTTCTACAGAGACATGAATACATATAATTATTCGGAGTCCTTGCAGTCAAATGATTCGATTACAGAGAAACTGACGAAGATAGATTTCATTCAAAAAAACTTTTCGTCCAGTCCTTACTGGATTAATATGACTTATATTTATTTGAGCAATAAAATAATTGAAATGAGCAATAATTAGATTCAGCAATAATTATATTGAATCAGCAATAGTTTATTAAAATTAAAGATAAATTTCACATAAAAAGGGCAATACGAATTCATTTATCTAAATTGTATGGTTTTTACGGTTATGTGTTTACGTGAGTTCGATTTATTTCGTACACACTTGAAACGTGGTATATGAGAAAAACCGTAGAAAAAACAATGAGATTGAAAAGACAATAGAATTTAATATCTGATCTCCCATAGAAGAGAGCATTGATATATATTACATAAATATCAAAAGTGTTGGAAAAATCCCATACATAGTGTAAGATAATCATAAGGAAATGTTCAAGATAATCAATAGGACAATTCTAATACAGTGGATGAGGAAATTCTTATGTTAAGAATTTATTTATACAAAACGTATTTTTTCAATCTTATAATAAAATAAAATATATAATTTATATAAATGGCTCAATCATAAAGCGTAACGCAGTATATTTCTGATTGTGAAAGTGACAATGATATGAAACTAGTCTCTTGATAACAGGGTGAGGGTGCAAACCCCCACCAGGAGCAAAAGATGTGGCTATTGATATTAAAATAAAAGGAGAGAGATCAGCTGAAGCAAAAAAAGCTTTATTGACACAATAATATATTAATTTTTTATTATTCTTTTTTTATTGTCAATTGTAAATAAAAATATCTTACTTTTCTTTTTTTCTTGTTGCTAAAATATGAAATTGCTACTGCTATTTAATGAATTAATTATTGCACATTTAATATTATAAAATTGCTCAAAGATAGTTTTCTTATTGCTCAAACCTTATTGCTATATTGTATCTTAATTATTGCTCATTCCAATATTTTTATTGCTTAAAAAAATACTAGCCGATTAATATATGAAATCTATAAGATCATTTAGATTGACAGATTTGAAAAAACTTCTCTTATTACATCAATCTTAATTTTCAGCAGTGAGTCATAGAAAGGCTTTAATGATTGTGCACACTACTTGGTTGCTTTATTTTTGTTCTTTTATCGAATAAGCGTCACATAAAAACCATAATATTATTTTATTTGACTCATTAATGTGTAGTTTGCCTTGTCATGAATCATACGATGATGTCGTGTCACACATTTTTCTCTTACTCTCCATACAGAGTTATTTTTGTTTCACTCATCATTCATTCCTACATTACACTTTAAAAATAACGACATGTCGTCTATCATTCAGAGAACGTCTTTCGAATTAAGTCATGTCGAAGAAAATTTAGTTCCTATAACACCGGTATTTGAGTGCATCACAAATGAAATATTACATGTGACAACTGGAATTCTTTATCAAATGAATATTCAACGACGAGAATGTAATACTCATGTAAAGTATGTGATTGGCAAATACTTTAATCTACTTACATCAACGGCAACATGTGATAATCACAGTCAATTATGGTGTTTGATTCCAGTGACAGTTACTACTGACAACAACAAGGATGTGACGCATGTTGTATATCGAATTAAAAACGCTCAAACAGGTAAAAGAGGGAACATAGTCAGTTTTGATCACATAACGCTTTGATTTAAAAAATCACGAGCTCTTGTTTTCCAAATAGATTTTAAAAGAGTATGGTGCGATGTAGTACTGCAAGTCAAATTGGAGATGATATGATTCGTGAAAAAAATACCAAATTAAAATGACATTTTTTTGATAGTTTTGACATTGATTCTTTTTATTAAAACAAAATTTGCTCAGAAAATCTTGTAGGTTTTCCGAGCCACTGTTTTCTACTTTCAAGTCAATGTGTACATTGAGATTATAGGTTGGAAAAATTTCACCACATACCTCGCATAGAGCGTCCATTTTTGCTAAGATCTCTATTAGAATCCTGACAAAAACTTTTACAGCATGGATGAGTTTCGAAGACAAAAGCTATTTCTATTCCAAAAATATAAAAGCGATGAGATATTCTTATTCTGTTAGACAATGCTTAAATTGTTGGTCATATCAAGTGTTTTCTTATAATCAGCATTAAAACTAAGTCTAAAATCTTCGTTACAAAAAACACACGTTTTATCATTTTTTCTGCTGATAGTGTTTTTCGTTTTAAAAGCAGAAAATTAGAAAAACAAGAAATCATACTATTCAGTGTTTCCAAAACTTCATCATGATATCAACTTCGTATCAATATTAAGCTGGTAAAATATTCGAACGTCAAAGAACACCTTTTTAGAATGTGAAACTTTGATTTGCTCATACCAACACGTAAAGCTCCCAGCAACTTAATATACTAACGGACACTTCTTTGGGCTACTGTTCAAATAGAGTTTTAATATATGGATTAATCAAGTATCTATGCTCGAATTAATACCAAGTAACAAATATCATTAAGCAAAGGATTAGAGGACTCTTTAATAAATAATCCATTAGAGTTGTTCGATATCATAAATTAAGAAGCTCTGTTTGTTAGTATCATCAGACTTAAGCTTCCTGTTCCATCAAGCTAGCTATTAGCATTCACATATTTCAAAAGTACTCGTTCATCCTCTTGCAAAGGATCAGTAACAAGTAACAACCAAGTGTAGTTGTGCTGTAACTTTCTCTAATTCATCTAAAAAAAAAGTGATGCCTTCAAATAGCAAATAACAACTTATTTTTAACTAAGAACAATATGAAAGATCGCTAGCATATGACTGAGGAGATAACTAAAGAAGGTTCAAATCCCTAGCTATGAAATACGAAAATTAGAGACGTTCAAAACAGGTTCAGATTGTGAAACCGTCTGCAAAGTGACCGATTTCTGTGTGCGATGCGTCCAGAGTAGTTAAAACATCTTTTTCGAAAAACCATACATTTTTATCAGTTTGTTTAGTCTTCAGTTTCTAAACTGAAAATGGTTACGGGAAATATTTTCTTGCACGAACAAAATCAGCATACAGAAAAGAAGAGCTCTTCTTATTGAATTGTGTTATTTTCTAGGCAAAGTTGTTACATGTGACGGATTATGTTGCTTATTGAATAGTGCTTTTATGTCACTTCAATTCGATGATCCCCTAGAATATACGAATCCGAAACGTCTTTGGACATTGGCTTCGATCAATACATCAAAAGAGAAATATGAATTATGCAATCAATATACACAACATCGACTTTCATTGGGGCCTATCATCGGTTCTCGACTATTATCATCCTACATTCGATGTTCAAAAACTACCGGTGATTTCATTTCGTTTTCAATGCCATCTATCACATTTAACGGTGAAGTATTACGAATGGATTTTGATCTACCATTACCACAGTTATTGGCGAAATCAACTGAAAATATTTTAATTTCATCTCACATTATTCGAAATCAAACTTTGAATTCAACACATACCGAAAGTATAACGCACAGTATTACACGTACAAATTCGTTTACTTATTCAATCAAGGAATCATTAAAATATTTATCGGGACTTTCATTCAAGGCTGAAATTCCATTTATTTCAACCAATAGTGGAAGTACAATTGACATGAAATCAGAACTAGGTGGTGAATCACAGCAACAATGGACACAAACGAGTCAAGAGACATATTCGATTTCAAAAACCATTACAGTACCACCCAATGAATGTATAGAAGTGAAATCATTTGTCAAATGGATTGAAAATATATCGATTCCATTTAAAGCAAAGATGAAAATTTCTGGACGGTGTCATCGACTGAGGTCAGATAATGGACAAATTGTAGAAAACCAACCAATGGATAGAGACTTGATACAACAATACTTAAAAATGAATTCATTTCAAGGACAAATTCTTTCATGTACAGAAGACAACGTTGTTATGGTTGAATTAACCGGCACGTTCAAAGGAAGTTATGGATTGGGAACTGATACAGAACTGAAAAATATTTGATAAATGTATATTTTTTTCTCTTTTCTTATTTCTATAGGACTCAGAATGAGCTAAGAAAGAGCCGTTTCTGTGTTACTGACTATGACTGAAGTACTAGATGTGTGTGCATGTAATTGAGGTCAGAAAAAAGAATTTGGTATAACAGTCATGGATTGGTAAATACTTGTTATATTTTTAGTAGTTGCTTGGCTTATCTATACTGGCCTTAGCAGGAGAAAAGTCTTCATGTACAAGCAAATAAACACTTTTCTATAGGTGACAATTATCAAAAACCGGATATAAATAGTCGAATTTCCCATACGAAACAAGTTTTCGATCGAATTTTAATTGTGAACGACAATAGGATGATATAGTATCGAGCTGAGTTACTTACTTGTATGAAGTGTACATTATTCTATTTCGCTATTCATTTCTGGGTCGAATAAGACATGATCTTTGTTTAAAAATCAAAGATTGCAAAAAATGTTTTCTCAAAATAATGGATACTTCAAGTATCATAATAGAACGATTCGCTTACATTGAACAAAGATTATAAGGAAGATTTCAATTTAATCAATCATGTTTTTGGTATTTAGCAGTTGCGAGTTTGTTTTCTGGATTTGAAGTATATGTGTGTATCGAAATGACAACCAAATATTTTGAATAACTGGAAGTTTATTTTTGACTTTGATTAACACTTATGTGTAGCATGAAATAAGAAAATTGAAGTTCATAGTAGCAAATTGATCGATTCTATATTTAGAAATATGTTATTTTAAACGTGAATCACCTATTGAATTAATACTCATCCGTGAAAAGGCTCAATTACGACAGAACTATAGAAATCGATAACTTGATCTTAGGATGATGAATTACTTTATAAAAACAATTTGAGAATATAAAAAGCGAAATAGACAATTCCCGATTCTCTGTATTCATCCTTGTTATTATGTCAGTTATTACTTTGCATTTTCTTCTAGGCACAAATGATATAAAAACGAAGCAAACTATTATTTTTTTATCTTGTAGTCATATTTGTTTTAATATTTTAGATTTATTTCTGTAGTGAAAATTGTGAGATAAAATTGCAAACATTTAAGCTATCAATCTTAGTCAATACTGAGATATATCACATTTTTCTGTCACAGTATATTCTCTACTACCAGATGCATAGAAGTTTTCTCATACATATAACTATTCTCATGTACATAACTCAATTTTTTTCTATTAATATTGTTCATTCAAATAGAGAATAGTAGAGAGAAGAAAAAAAGATGCCTGAAAATAATGATGCAGATGTGATAATTACACTTAACAAAGTCAAATATTTATATTCAAAGTGGATCAAGATATCTCTTTTTTCATTTCATCTTTTTTTAATTGTGATACAGTACGCAGATTGGTAGTTAAATAGATAGGTGGTTAAATATGTACCTAGGTAGACAAAAGTTTCTGAAAACTCGTGTAAACGCTTACAAAGATGACTTTTTGAGCTTTTACATGCGTGTAGACAGTAGTGAGCACCAAAACGTTCATACAGTTATTATTCTGTGCGTAGGCGGGTGTAAACAATGGAAACACAATATACATATTTGTATATACGCTTAAAACTTATTATTTTCAGCAATTTTTACGAGAGTACTTTATCAAACAAACTTTGAAACGTCCGCAGAGAATAGTTTTTATGGCGTTTAAACGCGTTTGTTGGTGTTCTTGTGTGTTTAGATAGATGGATAGCAGTCAGATAAATAAGTAGATAGGTGGTTATCTAGGTAGACTAATTGCCACATAGGTTTTTAGGTAATTTAAAGGATAAAAAAATAGATTTATCTATTTGTGTATCAATGATCGACATAATATGAATTGCTTACACAGATAAGAAATTCATATGAAAGTATAAGAGAAAAGGCATGGAAATCGAGATAAAATAACAGAGCGCGTAAAACCATAGAAAACTTGGGCGATTTAGGATGCTAAGCGCAGTTTTCGATTGTGAATCAGAAACATCTCTAGTAAGTAGATCTCAAAAAAGAACTAAGAATTTGTAACGTATAAACTGTCAAAAATTTTACCTCATCGAAGAAGTGATCACTTTCACTCTGGGTTTTTTTGTAGATGACCATGAGGAAGTGCGATTAGAACACGAAAACAGTCAGAACTTCATTCTGTCTCCGTGTATTAAATAGTATACTGTTCTTTCTTTTTCTCGTCGCTTTTGTATAATCTACTTGATTTGGCATTAGCTGCCACTCTTCGCGTCCATAATGCAGTTGAATATTTGAATTCTCATGACATCGAATGTAATAGGATATATTCGAAATTGAATTTTATTTAGAATTCAAATAATTTGATCTTTAGAAAAGGATTGATCGAGCAGAAAGATTGTCAAGAACAGCGAAGACACGTTTGTATTTTGTGCTGCTAGAGATGATTCATGTTTTTTGATGACAGCTATATTTTATAATCAAAAGTAAACATCGTGCAAATCTATTAAATTCGATGTAGATGTTCAAATATATTCGAGAAATAGGTTGTGGGTGTGGGTGTAGCTTCTTCCTTTAACGATACTCATACTCATACCCACACCCACACCCTCGCTTACCTGTTCTTCTACTTACCATAAAGTCAATAGTCATTTTCAAATTGCCAACAGTAGATGATCAAACAATGTCAGGCAAAGTGACAACATTTCTTGAAAACCATGCGATGACGTTCGACATGTTTCTGACGACAATTAACGATTGGGGACGATTTCAAAAAAAACAAATTCTGCATTCTTTGTCTCCTAAGTATAGTATCGGCATTCATGTTTTATACATGGATGTTTATTGCGGCAACACCAGATTTGCGATGTCGTCTTCTGTTTGAAATCGATAATTACAATGCAGAACTCAACGAATTATACAATCAAACGTACAATCGACGGAAGCAGATTGTGCTATATATCAAAATCGAATATCATTAAAAGAATGTCAACGATGCTATATAAGAGTGTCTCTGCGTAATACTACGTCTATTAGTCATCTTCAAATTTGTAATGATTATGTATTCGATCGGTCGATCTATAAGAAAACATTGATTGAAGAAGTAAGTTCAATAATGTATAAGAGAGAATTAGCCACATGATATTCTGTAGTCCTGAATAGTTTTTGTTTCTTAAAAACGTATGATATTTGTTTTTATTTGGATCGTTAAACATGAATGAATACCAATCTGAAAAAAATGATTTTTTTGTTCAAGTACATGTTAAGTATTACATAAAAATATCTGATTTCATATTTTTTCAGAGAAATCTGATGTATTTAATTTGGTGGAGACTTTCATACTAGATCTTTGACTAAAAACATTAGGTTTACAGGAGAGATCTTCTTAAAAGACTTATTTTTTTCTCAAATTTGTTCATATTGATTAAACTAATTTTTTTTTGATCAACTGCTTTATGTTGCAGTGGACAATGGTTTGTAATCGTGTTCTCTATCGTACAGTGGTTCAAACTGCTTTTTTTCCTTTGGTATAATGATAGGTGGAATTTTTTTTGGTACTATGTCTGATAGGTGTGCGAACTTGATTTGTTTCTCTTAATTTTCATCTTAAATATTGTTCATAGCAAGATATGGTCGTAGACCGATCATGAGTGTTTGCTTCATCGTATTAACACTGGTCTGCTTTATCTCTACGTTTGGTCCACAATCCAAATTCGGTACGTTATAAGTCGATTTTTACTTGCTGGTTCAGTACGAGCTATAGTTGAATCTAGCTTTGTACTTGCCACAGAATTAGGTAAGTAACATTTCTTTGAAAAATAATTTTGATCGATTTTTATTTGTCAAAGTTATCCCGAAAAAAAGTGTCATGGTAAATGCATTGATGAATTATGTTTAAGTACTTGGAGAATGTTGTTATTGGTATCGACTTTATTCGTTGCATCATTTTGTTTCTTTTATTGGTATAATTTTCATACTAATCTATATTTCGCTTTACAATACTCAAAGAGCATATTTCATTTTAATTGTATACTATTCCAATAGAGTTTTGCCCGAAAGTCTTTGATGGCTTCTAAGCAAAGGAAGATACGATGAAGCTGAAAGGATTCTCAAGAAAGTTGCCTTGGTAAACAAAAGAAAATTTGATCAAGAAATATATAATAGATTTAAGAGAACTCAGAGAACGGTAAGTGAATGTAAGCAATATTGTGTTTATATAATATGAACCGAATATTGATTATAGAACAACGACACAAGGGAAGTTCGAACAGGTATTTCAAATCTGTTTCAATCGAAGATTATGAGTTTTATTACTGTCAATCTCTTTTTACAGTGGTTAATTTCTGTTCACATAACTATTCTTTAATTTTTACTTTCACTTCTAACCAGGTTTACTCAGAATCTTGTATATTATGGTATATCACAAAATACAAGTAACTATGTTAATTTAGATAGTAATGAAGACGATTGTCTATATGATATATGTGTATTTAAGGATCATGGCAATTTGATCCATATGTTTTGTTTTGTGTTAGTGCATTGATAGAACTGCTTGCATACATTGTATTCCATGCTATTCTCAATCGAGTTGGACGAAAGTCGCCTTATTGTTTGTTTGCTTTAGCATTTGGAATCGTAGCTTTGTTGATTATACCTGTGCAAACTTTCACGAAAGCAAAACAATCGAGTACATACGTAAACATTGTACATTAAATTAAATTCTTATTTTAGCTCATCGAATCATTCTGTTTATTATTAATATCTTCTTGAGATGCTGTGGTGTGATCACATATGCTATTGTCTATCTACTTGCTTCTGAGCTATTCCCAACACATGCACGTACAACTGGATTAGGGTACTGTTCAATAGTCGGTCGTTTAGAAGCGATTATGGGAACATTCTGTAATGATTATCTAGTCAGTAAAAGCATCCATGGTTTTTTTATGTTTAACAAAAATATGATTCAATCTTTGTTGGGCACGCATGTCGATCAGCCTTTCAATTGTACTCTACGGAATAGTTTCATTGATTGCAGCT